AGGGTGAGGGAAAGAGAGAGGGGTGAGAAGGGAGGATGATAGAAAGGGGGTGGGGGGGGTAAGGGACAGAAGGGGGTGAGAGATATAGAAGGGTGAGAGAAAGGGGTGGGGGATGAGAGAGAGGTGAGAGAGAGAGGGGGGGAGAGGAGGTGAGAGAGACAGAAAGTGAGAGGCTAGGAGCGAGAGAGAAAGAAGGGGTGTGAGAGAGAGGGAGGGGTGAGGGGGGGAGAGATGGGTGTGAGAGAGGGAGGGGGAGGATGAGAGAGTGAGAGAGAGTGGAGGAGGTGAGAGAGAGAGGGAGGGAGAGTGATAGGTTAGGAGTGAGAGAGGGGGGTGAGAGAGGGGGGGAGAGATGGGCATGAGGGAGAGGATGAGAGAGAGAGGGGGGGAGGAGGTGAGAGAGAGGGAGGGAGAATGAGAGGTTAGGAGTGAGAGAGGGGGGGAGAGATGGGCATGAGGAAGAGGATGAGAGAGAGAGAGACGGGTGAGAGAGAGAGGGGTGAGGGGGGGGAAGATGGGTGTGAGAAAGAGATGGGGAGGATGAGAGAGAGACCCCTAGCCCTGTCTGCAGTTCCTCCTGTGCCTGCCTGTCTCATTCCCCTTCTGCAGATAGGTGTATGTAATGCCTGGTACCTGGCATGATAGCAGCAGGCAGAGTCCGTTCTCTCATTCTGGAGCAAAGGGGCAATCTGCTCCTTACTCTGATCTGCAGTCCCTAGCTGTCTGCGCTCCCGCCTGTCCTTGTCCTCCGGGCCCCTGGTCAGCCTGTCCTCTAGGTGGCCGTTACTGTTCTTGTTGGAGCTGCAAGCTGGGAGGTTGGAGGAGTCGATGCTCTGGGAGGCACCGTTGCTGGGGAATGCTGTGCCTGCTGCTCGCCTCTCTGGGTGTCAATAGAGGTCTTCTCACTCATGAGCTCTCAATCCTAGTGGCCCTCGATGCTTGCCTTCCCCCTGTTCCCGACACCACCAGGACACTCCAAGACAAGGGGCAGCTGCTTTGGGCCCCACAACAATGATTGGGCCCAGGGCAGCTTCCCCGCATTAAAGACAGCCCTGATTGTTGTGCGTTGAGCCAATGTAAATGAGTCAGTTAGCATGCATACAGTTTTAGCTGTTTGAATTGTTTTAGGGGAGTTCATTGCAAAGAAAGCTTTGTGAATAAGGGTCAACAATAGCCTGACCTTTTGATATATTTGACCTATATGGCATAGTATAACAGTGCCATCTAGAGTTTGAGTTGCGGAACGTTTTCTCTCATAAAAACTATGGTAGAGGAAATAATTAGAAAGGGCCACACAAATTTGGGAATGGTTAAAACGTTCTAAATAAAAGGGCAGTAGCATAAGCTGAAAGGAGCGCTCAACAACAATAAAGGAAGGTCTATGCCAGGAGGGCTCCATAACTGCAAAATTACCAAGGAAGGAAATTCATAGAAGGATGATACTAAAGCTACCCAATGAGAGATACCAATGTCTGCGATTGCTCAAAAAGCCAGGAGCCCTGGTTAACTACAGAGACCGTGAAACCGCTTTAACCTAAGCTAAGTGACTTTTAGTGTATTCCTATTGTACATAGACCATTGTTCATGCTCATTCATTAGGAAAGGTATGTAGAGTGTGCATGAGTTGTATGTATATCTGTAATACTTTGTAAGTCTTGTATTGTTTTCCTACAATTGTAAGTAGTTTGTATGTACAGCATTATTATTTATTAAAAGCAAATTAATGCACTACAGATTTTTATGCTTCCTTGCATTTACTGCAAAGTGACCTTAAAAGATACAAATCAAAACACATGCATATCTGCTCCAGATTCTTTCTTTCTTGAGTGTTTGTAAATTCCCAACAATACAATTATGGAATTTATGAAAGCTGCGGAACTCTTCAAATGGGTGGACTGACAAGATGTCTACAGGAAATATACAGAAGACATCCTATGTCTCCATTTCGCATTTCCAGAGTTTGGAAATGGATTAAACACTGGAACGGATTGTGAGTATTAGCAGTCATACCTTGTGAGGAGAAGGAAACGTTTGCCATGATATAAGTTGACCAGAGATGACATCACCTGAAAGGAGAACAGATAATAATAAAACCAATTGTAGTTTGATAAATGGAATCAATATGGACTTTTTTTTAAACTTAGACTGTGGAGGATTTGTTTCCCTTATGTGGACAACAATTGGCTTCCTGGTTGTATAATCAAAGAAGATCAGAACTGGACGGACTTCTGTCAATTACAATCCATAACTATGAGGATAAATCAGTACCTTCATCCCAGCATCCAACTATTGGTATATTGGGGTCAAACAGGATTTTTACCGTGTTTAGGGCCACAATATATACAGAAAAACGTGCCAGTGATAGCCAAGAAGTGTACTGATCAGCACCAAAGTATCAGCCCAGTTAAATGTCTACCAGATAGATAATGTGATACTTCAGGTTTGGGGGTTATCTAAGGGAAGGGTAGTTAAGAGTTTAGGAGCAGTTAGGGGGCTAAATGTGTTATTAAAGAGTACATATGAAGGTTGGGGGGATGGACAAGATGAAAGTCAGGGTGACAACAGTAGCCCATTGATGATAAAACACTCAGAGATGGGTGTGAGAAATATTGTACTGTGATTTAATAGGGTTTCTCTCTTCTTCTGGATCTACTGAAATGTGAAACTAATATATGAGAGAGACTCATTACATGCAAAGCAAGATAGTTCAAGCCGTGATTTGTCATCATTGTGATGATTATGGTTTACAGCTCAAGAAAACCCCAAATCCACAATCTCAGAAAATTAGAATATTACATACAATCAATAAAACAAGGATTGTACATAGAACAATATCGGACCTCTGAAAAGTATAAGCATGCATATGTACTCAGTACTTGGTTTGGGCCCCTTTTGCAGCAATTACTGCCTCAATGCAGAGTGGCATGGAAGCTATCAGCCTGTGGCACTGCTGAGGTGTTATGGAAGACCAGGATGCTTCAATAGCGGCCTTCAACTCTTCTGCATTATTCAGTCTCATGTCTCTCATCTTTCTCTTGGCAATGCCCCATAGATTCTCTATGGGGTTCAGGTCAGGCGAGTTTGCTGGCCAAACAAGCACAGTAATCTCACAGTCATTGAACCAGGTTTTGGTGCTTCTGGCAGTGTAGGCAGGTGCCAAGTCCTGCTGGAGAATGAAGTCAGCATCCCCATAAAGCTCATCTGCGGAAGGAAGCATGAAGTGCTCCAAAATCTCCTGGTAGACGGCTGCGTTGACCCTGGACTTAATGAAGCACAGTGGACCAACACCAGCAGATGACATGGCTCCCCAAATCAACACAGACTGTGGAAACTTCACACTGGACTTCAAGCATCTTGCAGTGTGTGCCTCTCCATTCTTCCTCCATACTCTGGGTCCTTGGTTTCCAAATGAGATGCAAACGTTGCTCTCATCAGAAAAGAGGACTTTGAACCACTGAGCAACAGACCAGGTCTGTTTTTCTTTAGCCCAGGTAAGACACTTCTGACGTTGTTTGTTGTTCAGGAGCGGCTTGACAAGAGGAATACGACATCTGAAGCCCATGTCCAGGATCCGTCTGTGTGTGGTGGCTCTTGATGCACTGACTCCAGCCTCAGTCCACTCCTTGTGAAAGTCCCCAACACTTTTGAATGGCCTTTTCCTGACAATCCTTTCCAGGTTGCGGTCATCCCTGCTGCTTGTGCACCTTTTTCTTCCACATTTTTCCCTTCCACATAACTTTCTATTAATGTGCTTTGATACAGCACTTTGGGAACATCCAGCGTCTTTTGCAATTACCTTTTGAGGCTTTCCCTCCTTATGGAGGGCGTCAATGATGGTTTTCTGCACAACTGTCAGGTCAGCAGTCTTTCCCATGATTGTGATTCCTACTGAACCAGACAGAGACCATTTAAAGGCTCAGGAACCCTTTGCAGGTGTTATGGCTTAATTAGCTGATTAGAGTGGGACACTTTGAGCCGAGAATATTGCACCTTTTCACAATATTCTAATTTTCTGAGATTGTGGATTTGGGGTTTTCATGAGCTGTAAACCATAATCATCACAATTATGACAAATCACAGCTTGAACTATCTTGCTTTGCATGTAATGAGTCTATCTCATATATTAGTTTCACCTTTTAAGTTGCATTACTGAAATAAATGAACTTTTGCACAATATTCTAATTTTTCGAGTTTCACCTGTATAGTATTTATCCAGCGGTCCAAATATATTACCACGTGTTGCTCCAAGCCACCACCTTTGCACACTCACTATCTATTAAGCTGTTATCACAAGGGATGGACAACATCCCTTGTGATAGCATGGGTCTATTAGACTCCAGATCTCCCCTCTGCCCCTAAAATCATCTGATCAAACCAAGATTGGTTTGATCAGATGCTTTCACAAGATGGTAATGGCTTGTTTACATCTGAGTGAAACCAGAAGTGACAAAATCCTCGTTGCTTCTGGTTTCTTAGACCATAGAGACGATCGAGGAAATTCCAGTTCTTGGTCATCTCTATGATAAGCTGGAGGTAGTGCCAGTCCTGGATTCTCCTGTGGAACAGGAGAGTCAAGGAAGATGGAGGGAGGGGGAAATCACTTTCACCATGTAAAAGAGACCCAACGCTTACATACAGAGGCGTAGCTAGGATATTTTGTGCCCGGGGACGAACTATAAAATTGGCGCCCCAGCCCCCCTTCCCGTTTAATCACATCAGTGACACCAATGATGGGGCACTATTCCTCCCACTGACATCAATGACACTTACCTTGCTGACCCCTGCTCCAGCCTAGGCTCCTTCCCTCCCTATCCACAGCCAACATACCTGGTTGCAGCAGCACTATCTGCAAGGCACACTTACCAGTCAGCTGTCTTCTTCACTTGCTCCTGCTGCTCCCTCACTCGGTCTCCGTGCTGCCGTTCGGCTCCTCCTCTCCAAGCTCTGCCTCCTCGCAGGTGATTGGCCGCCTGTGTGCCTTTCCTGAGCTACAGTTCTGGCACCCAATCACCGGTGAGGAGTCGGAGCTTGCAGAGGGAGGTACAGAGGGAGGTGATCCCGAGGGTGTTGGCAGATGACAGGGGCAGCATGTCAACCCGCCCACACATCGCATCCACGGAAAAGAAGACACCGGACCTGCGGACCTCTCTACCCCTCCTCCAGCAGCGCCTCCTGGACTGGATTGTCGTGGGACTGGGGCACAGAGCCAGGTAAGACACAGCAGCCCGCTGCCCGGCCCTGTACTAAGTGTCCCTTCCACTTTTTAGGGGGCGGCGCGGGGCCACCGCCCCCCCCTAAAAAGTGCCGCCCTAGGTAAATGCCTTGTTTGCCTCACTGCAAATATGCAACTGCGTTGTAAGCCTCATTTTGGCGCCCCTGTACCTTGGCGCCCAGGTACATATGTACCCCCCTAGCTACGCCTCTGCTCACATAGCTTTCACATTGTAGAGCATCGCCAGCTGAAAAAAGATACCTGGGTCAAAACTGCAGCTGCAGCCATGGCTCTAGTGTAACCACTTCAACCCAAGGATGCACAGGTATGTCCTACAGGTAGGAAATGGTTAAAGTAGAAGGAAAGGCTAAAAATAACTAATGCTTAACCACTTCAGTACTGGGCAGTTTTACCCCCTTCCTGCCCAGACCAATTTTCAGCTTTCAGTGCTCACACTTTGAATACCAGTGACTCAGTCATGTTACACGGTACACAAACAAAGTTTTTAGCAATTTTTTAATACAAATATAGCTTTGTTTTGGTGCTATTTAATCACCACTGGGTATTTTCTTTTTTACAAAATAAGCTAAAAGAGGGAACATTTTGAAAGAACACATTATTTTCAGTTTCTATTATAACATTTTTCAAAAAAGTATTTTCTCTTCATATATTGAGGTCAAAATATATACTACTACATATCTTTGGTAAAATAGATTAAATCAGTGTATATTATTTAGTCTGTGTGAAAGTTATAGAGTCTACAAGCTATGCTACTTGGAGTATCATTGAAAATTGATCAATTCTGATGTATTGACTGCCTCTCTCATTTCTTTGGGCCCTGAAATGTCAGGACAGTACAAATATTCCCCAAATACCCCGTTTTTGGAAAGTGGACAGTCCAAGTTATTTAGTTTGAAATGTTTCCCACAATTCTTTGAAAAATTAATAAATGTAATTTTCTTTTACAAAAAAAATGTCATATGAAAAAATTATTTCTCACCCACGGCATAGGCATACTTGCAATTACACCCCAAGATACATTTTTCTATGGTGATACCACATGTGAGACTTTTTCACAGCCTGGCCACATACAGAAGCCCAACAATCAAATAGCACCTTCAGGCATTCTAGGGGCATAAATTACACATTTAATTTCCTGACTACCTATCACATTTTTGAAAGCCCTGGAACAGCAGGACAGTGGAAACACCAACAAAATGACCCCATTTTGGAAAGCAAACACCCCAATGTATATTCTATGGAGGCATACTGAGTCTTTTTAACATGTCATTTTTTTCCACACGTTTTTGGAAAATGTAGAAAGGAAATTAAAATGTATTTGTTTTTACACAAAGTTGTCAATTTGACTTTGGAAGGAAGAAAGCTCAGGACTTCACCGGCACCCAGAGTGAGGACCACTTGTGCAGCAGGGAAGGAACGATCCAGCTAGAAGACCTGTTAGCAGTCACTGACCCATCAGCAGCACAGGAAAAGGACTGAGTGAGTAGACCTGCACCACCTGGGCCAAATAGGGGAAGGAGCGCACTGGTGGGAAACTGGATTAGTTGCTACCCGGGACTGTTCATTATTTAAAGGACAGACACTGGATCCCCTGCCCAGGGATTCACCCACAACAGCTGGATTAGGAGAATCTGGGGTTATACAACAAGAGATGCTGGCTAGCTTTCCAAGAAGAGGAATTTTGTGTACATAGTTCAGCAAGATTGTTCTCAATTACAGTTCCATTGGGCATCTCGTACACTCCTTACCCTATCCAAGTTAAAATCCCCTAATAAAACCTTAAAAAAGCAAAGCTCAAGGACTGGTTTGTCAAGGTCCTACCTTTTCCCAGAGGTTATGTTACTCCATGTGCTGGCATCCATCTTGGATTTCTGCTGAGCATGGTGGGAATCTTTTATGCCTTCAGGTCTCTGAGGTCCATCCCCCAGAGGGGTGTGGCTGAGTACATATAAGCCTGTGATCCGCACATGCACTTCTGTCTTGGTCCTGCTACAGCTCTGTGTATACTCTTGTGACTCTTCTGGTATCTGACTCGGCTTGTGACTAAGACCATTCTCTGTGGTTTCCTTCGATCTGACCTTCCGTTGCTGAACCCGGCCTGTGACCTGTGATTCTCTGTATACTGTTCTGTACCATTTTGTCCCGTTGTTATCGACCCGGCCTGCCTGACTACGCTATTGTCATTCTTACCAGCTACACGCCATTGGCAGCGGCCATTACCACAGCCGGGGTGTCTCGGCGGCCGCGACCTGGTTCCTGGCTGTGTCAAGTCCATCCCCACCAGCAGGGGCCCTGGTGAAGGGCAGCCTGGGACTTAGACTCCGCGCCCTGAGGGACTTCGGTCTGTTGGTGGTGGTTGTCGTCAGCCAGTGTGTTACCCTGCCACTAGGCCTACCTGTCCGTTCCACAGCCCTGCCCTGACATGGTTACTCTTGGATGCAAGTCTTTGTGGAAATGCATGTTGCCCGGTTGTGCAAAACTCTTGCAACTCCTAAGGGGGTAGTGCTACACATGTAACATGTTACAAAAGGTGAATTTATACTTTAATAAATAGGGATACTATGTAACTAACTTATTCACCTAGGAGGGGCAGTATCTGGAAGCCCACTAATGTTAAAAAGGGCTTCCAGATTGCAATAAGCCCTCACCCAGAAACCCCAACAACCACTGAGCAAGGGCTGTGGGGAAGAGGTCTTTGTTCTCATCACTTAACATGGTGCCTTGTTAAGGGCATGTGGCCCAGTATGGTTCAGGAGTGGGCTAAAGGCTTGTGACACCCTTTTTTCTGGCTGTATGCTTGGATAAGGGTCTACTAAAGGATTTTAGTGGGACCCCAAGCTTTTTTTTTTTTTGCGTGTCGACCCCCTTGCTATCCATATCAGACAATCATCAAGGATAGGGGTCTGGCATGTATTTTCAGGGAAACCCCCACATTTTTTTTGTGGGGTCCCCATTATAATCAATATCAGACACATCTAGGTTAGGGGATTAATTAAATCTCTAGCCACTTTTTAACAACAGAAGTAAGGGACTGGGAGCACTCTTTTTCTAGCTATTTAAACAGCATTTTTATTTTTATTTGTCGGCTTTCTCATTTATGTGTCAGTTTTGCTGTAATAGGTTGTATATATAGTTAATTAAGTGTCACTTCCGTTTCTGCACTTTAGCGATTGCAGGAAACAAAAACAGGAAGCAAAACATCAGACCACAGGTGACCTCACTTACCCATTCGCTTCCTCTCTGTAATATGCACTCTCTATCTCTCCCTTTCACAGTTGTATCCTCTCTCAAACTCTGTGGGGTGCAGAAGAGGTTTGAAGGAAACAATCTGTATATATCACCCTCACCTTCTGTCCTCCCCTTATAACTGCACTCATCGTCTCTTCCTAATTCTAATCCCACATGCTAATAAAAAAAAACCCAGGATGCTGAGGCATGTCCCCTCATATAAATCATTACCTCTCACACCTTTTTGCTTCTCTTACCCTCTGGAGAGATATCCCCAAACCCTCTGCCTCCTTTATTTACAGTAACTATAACCAACACACGCATCACCCTGCACCCTGTGGCAGCAGCTGCAATCCACACAAGACTTTGGTTTCAATTCCCCTTCTTCCCAAAACCAGTTTAACCTTCTCCTGTGCCCTCTGGAATGCTTGCTCTGTTGCAACAAACTCACCTCTGTTCATTACCTCGTTGTCACTAACTCCTTTCATCTACTTGCTGCCACTGAAACATAGCTTCATGAATCTAACACTGCTTCTCCTGCTTCCCTCTCCCATGGTGGTCTTCTCTGAACTGGTGGAGTGGGAATCCTCCTAACCCCACAGAGTACCTTTCCTCCCTCTCATCGTTTGAAGCTCACTGTTTAAGTCTACTTCCTCCAATTTCTTTAGGAATTGCTGTCAACTAGCAGCACCCTGGACCAATATCAACTTTCCTTGATGACTTCTCTGCCTGGCTACCCTGCTTTCTCACTTCTGAAATTCCCACAATCATTCTTGGTGACTTCAACATCCCTGTTAATACTAACACTCCTGCTACTTGTAAATTTCTTAGTCTAACCTCCTCATTTGACCTGAAGCAATGGGTACATGCTTCTACTCACTTTGAAGGCAACACCCTTGACCTTGTATTCTCCAACCTATGCACTCCATTCACTTTAACCCTTCTCTTCTCCACTCTGCTATAGACCACCTCTATGACAATATCTCACCCCTGTCCCCCCACCAATCTAGCCACTTCTGCCTACAGTACATCCCTGTCCTCCGCCCTGGACAAGCTTGTTTTGTTGGGGGCAGCACAGTGGCTAAATGGTAAGCACTTCCGCCTGGCAGTACTAGGGTCCTTGGTTCGAATCCCAGCCACGGCACCCTGTGCCTGCATGGGTTTCCTCTGGGTACTCTGGTTTCCTCCCACACTCCAAAGACATGCTGGTATGAATGTAAGTTAGGGATTTTAGATTGTACACCCCTTGAGGGTTAGGGGCTGATGTGAATGTACAATATATAGCGCCATCAATTTACGCAGTACTTTACATATATAAGTACCTGAAATAAATAATAAATAAATAATTTGAGGCTATAAGTTGTATCAACTTCAAAAGAGCCTCTTATCTTAAATAAAACAGAAATAGATGAAGCTCCAGGCTGTAAACCGCTAATTAGGCTTGGCAGGATGTCTACATTGCAAAGACACTTTCCTCTGCTCTATCATAAAACAATAACTCAGTCAGCCATCACACATGACCTGTTAGGCATTAGGGCTCTTGGAATGCAGAGCATGCCATAAAACGTCGCAATTTCACATACAATTCATAAAATTCAACAGGAACTGGACATTTTCACTTATTAATATTATTATACAGTATTTATAAAGCGCCAACAATTTGCTCAGGCTGTACATTACACTTAGGGGTGTACTCACTTTTGTTGCCAGCGGTTTAGACATTAATGGCTGTGTGTTGAGTTATTTTGAGGGGGACGGCAAATTTACATGTTATACAAGCTGTACACTCACTACTTTACATTGTAGCAAAGTGTCATTTCTTCAGTGTTGTCACATGAAAAGATACAATAAAATATTTACAAAAATGTGAGGGGTGTACCGACTTCTGGGAGATACTGTATAGTGTGCATTCACATGAGTCCTAAACTCAAGGAGCTTACAATCTAAGGTCCCTAACTCACATTCATACACATACTAGGGCTAATTTAGATAGGAGCCAATGAACCTACCAGCATGTCTTTGGAGTGTGGGAGGAAAACCCACGCTGGCACAAGGAGAACATGCAAATTTCAGGCAGGTAGTACCATGGTTGGTATTCAAACTGATGACCCTAGTGCTGCTAGGCAGAAGTGCTAACTACTTAGCCACTGTGCTGCCTACTATTGTGTTTTTGTCCCTGTGAAAGTCTCTTTAACTACTTGATCCTCCAGGTCAATTTCTGACATGTCTGTCATGCATGTAAAAAATTTGTATTTTTGTACTAGAAAATTACTTAGAACCCCACACATTATATTTTTTAAGCAGAGACTGTAGAAAATAATATGGTGGGTGTTTCAATTTTAATGTCACATGGTATTTGCACAGTGGTTGCTCAATGTTTTTGGAAAAAATAAGCCTTAATAAATTTTAGTGCACACAAACACAACATAATAACCCATTTTTTTTGTAAAAAATAAAAGATGATGTTGCACTGAGTAAATAGATACTCAACATATCACGATTTAAAATTTGGAAAACAAAAGTGAAGCTCTTAAATGATCAAGAATGAATATTCCTAAATAGACCAAAGTGCAAATAATATACTTCAGACAATAAAACACAACAAAAGTGACATTAAAACATGCAAAGTCCCTCAAATTTGTGGCTCTTCTTAGTGGTAAATAATAACTCCAACAGCTGCACATGTACAGGTGAAACTCAAAAAATTAGAATATTGTGCAAAGTTCATTTATTTCAGTAATGCAACTTAAAAGATGAAACTAATATATGAGAGAGACTCATTACATGCAAAGCAAGATAGTTCAAGCCGTGATTTGTCATAATTGTGATGATTATGGCTTACAGCTCATGAAAACCCCAAATCCACAATCTCAGAAAATGAGAATAATACATGCAATCAATAAAAACAAGGATTGTACATAGAACAATATCGGACCTCTGAAAAGTAGAAGCATGCATATGTACTCAGTACTTGGTTTGGGCCCCTTTTGCAGCAATTACTGCCTCAATGCAGAGTGGCATGGAAGCTATCAGCCTGTGGCACTGCTGAGGTGTTATGGAAGACCAGGATGCTTCAATAGCGGCCTTCAGCTCTTCTGCATTGTTCGGTCTCATGTCTCTTATCTTTCTCTTGGCAATGCCCCATAGATTCTCTATGGGGTTTAGGTCAGGCGAGTTTGCTGGCCAATCAAGCACAGTAATCCCACAGTCATTGAACCAGGTTTTGGTGCTTTTGGCAGTGTGGGCAGGCGCCAAGTCCTGCTGGAAAATGAAGTCATCATCCCCATAAAGCTCGTCTGCGGAAGGAAGCATGAAGTGCTCCAAAATCTCCTGGTAGACGGCTGCATTGACCCTGGACTTAATGAAGCACAGTGGACCAACACCAGCAGATGACATGGCTCCCCAAATCAACACAAAACTGTGGAAAGTTCACACTGGACTTCAAGCATCTTGCAGTGTGTGCCTCTCCATTCTTCCTCCATACTCTGGGTCCTTGGTTTCCAAATGAGATGCAAAATTTGCTCTCATCAGAAAAGAGGACTTTGAACCACTGAGCAACAGACCAGGTCTGTTTTTCTTTTCTCTGACGTTGTTTGTTGTTCAGGAGCAGCTTGACAAGAGGAATACGACATTTGCCCATGTCCAGGATCCGTCTGTGTGTGGTGGCTCTTGATGCACTGACTCCAGCCTTAGTCCACTCCTTGTGAAAGTTCCCAACACTTTTGAATGGACTTTTCCTGACAATCCTCTCCAGGCTGCGGTCATCCCTGCTGCTTGTGCACCTTTTTCTGCCACACTTTTCTCTTTCACATAACTTTCTATTAATGTGCTTTGATACAGCACTTTGGGAACATCCAACTTCTTTTGCAATTACCTTTTGAGGCTTTCCCTCCTTATGGAGGGTGTCAATGATGGTTTTCTGCACAACTGTCAGGTCAGCAGCCTTTCCCATGATTGTGATTCCTACTGAACCAGGCTGAGAGACCATTTAAAGGCTCAGGAACCCTTTGCAGGTGTTATGGCTTAATTAGCTGATTAGAGTGGGACACTTTGAGCCGAGAATATTGCACCTTTTCACAATACCAAATTAAAAAAAACCCTTGATGACGTCGGTGTGACGAAACCAGTTGGGCGTAGCCTACTTGATGTGGACGTTAGAGAGCCTTGCTGGTCTGTGCTGTATGGGAGAGATCTGCGGTGAGCGTTAACTGTATCTCAACCTCCCTTTTTTGCGATTGAAGCTGGTGTCTGTTGGACACCTTGTTTGTGAGTTTCCTTATACCTTTTTTATTAAAGAGATAAATGGAAAAAACGTATTGCACCATTATGTTCTCTTTTTTGTCCCTGAGTGTACTGCATGCCCTCATGGAGGTATGAGAAAGAGTGGAGAAGTTCATCATAAGAGCTTGGGCTGCAAAGTTGTTTGGCTGTGATTATTATTATCTGGAAGTATCTGAAAGATCACCATATCTATTTGGACATCGGGTTCATTGCTCCCAGAGCACAAGCGTTGTTGCTGGTTTATAATCTGACCAGCCATTAGCTCTGGTGAGTTCATTTAATCTCCTTTGGTGGTGGATTTCTCACAATTGGTTCAAGTCACTGAAGATATATATTTTTTTTTGGACACTAATTTATGTTTGGACACTATAATTTATTTAAAACACTAATGTTTTTTGGATGATGATATACACTTTTGTAAAAGTTTGTTATTAGCGCATACCTTTTAATTTGGACCTTTTCACAATATTCTCATTTTCTGAGATTGTGGATTTGGGGTTTTCATGAGCTGTAAGCCATAATCATCACAATTATGACAAATCACGGCTTGAACTATCTTGCTTTGCATGTAATGAGTCTATCTCATATATTAGTTTCACCTTTTAAGTTGCATTACTGAAATAAATGAACTTTTGCACAATATTTTAATTTTTCGAGTTTCACCTGTATAGTATTTATCCAGCGGTCCAAATATATTACCACGTGTTGCTCCAAGCCACCACCTTTGCACACTCACTATCTATTAAGCTGCTATCACAAGGGATGGACAACATCCCTTGTGATAGCATGGGCAGTGACAGGTCCTCTATACTGAGACATCTGGGGTCTATTAGACTCCAGATCTCCCCTCTGCCCCTAAAATCATCTGATCAAACCAAGATTGGTTTGATCAGATGCTTTCACAAGATGGTAATGGCTTGTTTACATCTGAGTGAAACCAGAGTGACAAAATCCTCGTTGCTTCTGGTTTCTTAGACCATAGAGACAATCGAGGAAATTCCAGTCCTCGGTCATCTCTATGATAAGCTGGAGGTAGTGCCAGTCCTGGATTCTCCTGTGGAACAGGAGAGTCAAGGAAGATGGAGGGAGGGGGAACCCACTTTCACCATGTAAAAGTGATCCAACGCTCGTATACAGAGGCGTAGCTAGGATATTTTTTGCCCGGGGACAAACTATAAAAATTGGCGCCCCAGCCCCCCTCCCCATTTAATCACATCAGTGACAGCAATAATGGGGCACTATTCCTCCCACTGGCATCAATGACACTTACCTTGCTGACCCCTGCTCCAGCCTAGGCTCCTTCCCTCTCCCATCCACAGCCAGCATGCCTGGTTGCAGCAGCACCATCTGCAAGGCACACTTACCGGTCAGTTGTCTTCTTCACTTGCTCCAGTAGCTCCCTCACTCGATCTTCGTGCTGCCGCTTGGCTCCTCCTCTCCGGTGATTGTCTGCCTGTGTGCCTTTCCTGAGCTACAGTTCTGGCACCCAATCAACAGTGAGGAGTCGGAGCTTGCAGAGGGAGGTACAAGCTGCCATAGGCTGCCTATTGATCCCGAGGGTGTTGGCAGATGACAGGGGCAGCATGTCATTCCGCCCACACATCGCGTCCAGGGAAAAGAAGACACCGGACCTGCGGACCTCTCTACCCCTCCTCCAGCAGCGCCTCCTGGACTGGATCGTCGTGGGACTGGGGCACGGAGCCAGGTTAGACACAGCAGCCCGCTGCCCGCCCCTGTACTAAGTGTCCCTTCCGTCAGAAGGGGGGGGCGGCGGCCCCGCACCACCCCCGAAAAAGTGCCGCCCTAGGCAAATGCCTTGTTTGCCTCGCGGCAAATACGCAACTGCGTTGTAAGCCTCATTTTGGCGCCCCTGTGCCTTGGCGCCCAGGTACATATGTACCCCCCTAGCTACGCCTCTGCTCACATAGCTTTCACATTGTAGAGCATCGCCAGCTGAAAAAAGATACCTGGGTCAAAACTGCAGCTGCAGCCATGGCTCTAATGTTACCACTTCAACCCAAGGATGTACAGGTATGTCCTACAGGTAGGAAATGGTTAAAGTAGAAGGAAAGGCTAAAATAACTAATGCTTAACCACTTCAGTACTGGGCAAATTTACCCCCTTCCTGCCCAGACCAATTTTCAGCTTTCAGTGCTCACACTTTGAATACCAGTGACTCAGTCATGTTACACGGTACACAAACAAAGTTTTTAGCAATTTTTTAACACAAATATAGTTTTGTTTTGGTGCTATTTAATCACCACTGGGTATTTTCTTTTTTACAAAATAAGTTAAAAGAGGGAACATTTTGAAAGAACACATTACTTTAAGTTTTATTATAACATTTTTCAAATAAGTATTTTCTCTTCATATATTGAGGTCAAAATATATACTACTACATATCTTTGGTAAAATAGATCAAATCAGTGTATATTATTTAGTCTGTGTGAAAGTTATAGAGTCTACAAGCTATGCTACTTGCAGTATCATTGAAAATTGATCAATTCTGATGTACTGACTGCATCTCTCATTTCTTTGGATCCTGAAATGTTAGGACAGTACAAATATTCCCCAAATACCCCCCTTTTTGGAAAGTGGACAGTCCAAGTTATTTAGTTTGAAATTTCTCCCACAATTCTTTGAAAAATGAATAAATGTAATTTTCTTTTACAAAAAATTGTCATATGAAAAATTATTTCTCACCCACGGCATAGGCATACTTGCAATTACACCCCAAAATACATTTTTCTATGGTGATACCACATGTGAGACTTTTTCACAGCCTGGCCACATACAGAAGCCCAGCAATCAAATAGCACCTTCAGGCATTCTAGGGGCATAAATTACACATTTAATTTCCTGACTACCTGTCACATTTTTGAAAGCCCTGGAGCAGCAGGACAGTGGAAACATGAACAAATTGACCCCATTTTGGAAAGCAAATACCCCAATGTATATTCTATGAGGCATACTGAGTCTTTTTAACATGTCATTTTTTTCCACACGGTTTTGGAAAATGTAGAAAGGAAATTAAAATGTATTTTTTTTTTACACAAAGATGTCAATTTGACCTTGGAAGGAAGAAAGCTCAGGACTTCACCGGCCCCCAGAGTGAGGACCACTTGTGCAGCAGGGAAGGAACGATCCAGCTAGAAGGCCTGTTAGCAGTCACTAACCCATCAGCAGCACAGGAAAAGGACTGAGTGAGTAGACCTGAACCACCTTGGCCAAATAGGGGAAGGAGCGAAACTGGATTAGCTGCTACCCGGGACTGTTCATTATTTAAAGGACAAACACTGGATCCCTTGCCCAGGGATTTACCCACAACAGCTGGATTAGGAGAATCTGGGGTTATACAACAGGAGACGCTGGCTAGCTTTCCAAGAAGAGGAATTTTGTGTAAAGATTTGTACATAGTTCAGGAAGATTGTTCTCAATTACAGTTCCATTGGGCATCTCGTACACTCCTTACCCTATCCAAGTTAAAATCACCTAATAAAACCTTAAAAAAACAAAGCTCAAGGACTGGTTACTCTTGGATGCAAGTCTTTGTGGAAATGCATGTTGCCTGGCTGTGCAAAACTCTTGCAACTCCTAAGGGGGTAGTGCTACACATGTAACGTTACAAAAGGTGAATTTATACTTTAATAAATAGGGATACTATGTAACCAACTTATTCACCTAGGAGGGGCAGTATCTGGAAGCCCACTAATGTTAAAAAGGGCTTCCAGATTGCAATAAGCCCTCACCCAGAAACCCCAACAACCACTGAGTAAGGGCTGTGGGGAAGAGGTCTTTGTTCTCATCACTTAACATGGTGCCTTGTTAAGGGCATGTGGCCCAGTGTGGTTCAGCAGTGGGCTAAAAGCTTGTAACACCCTTTTTTTTCTGGCCTGCCAGGCTGTATGCTTGGATAAGGGTCTACTAAAGGATTTTAGTGGGACCCCAAGCTTTTTTTTTTTTTGCGTGTCGACCCCCTTGATATCCATATCAGACAATCATCAAGGATAGGGGTCTGGCATATATTTTCAGGGAAACCCCCACATTTTTTTTGTGGGGTCCCCATTATAGTCAATATCAGACACATCTAGGTTAGGGGATTAATTAAATCTCTAGCCACTTTTTAACAACAGAAGTAAGGGACTGGGAGCACTCTTTTTCTAACTATTTAAACAGCATTTTTATTTTTTTTTTGTCGGCTTTCTCATTTATGTGTCAGTTTTGCTGTAATAGGTTGTATATATAGTTAATTAAGTGTCACTTCCGTTTCTGCACTTTAGCGATTGCAGGAAACGAAAACAGCAAGCAAAACATCAGACCACAAGTGACCTCGCTTACCCATTCGCTTCCTTTCTGTAATATGCACTCTCTATCTCTCCCTTTCACAGTTGTATCCTCTCTCAAACTCTGTGGGGTGCAGAAGAGGTTTGAAGGAAACAATCTGTATATATCACCCTTACCTTCTGTCCTCCCCTTATAACTGCACTCATCGTCTCTTCCTAATTCTAATCCCACATGCTAATAAAAAACCCCAGGATGCTAAGGCATGTCCCCTCATATAAATCATTACCTCTCACACCTTTTTGCTTCTCTTACCCTCTGGAGAGAGATCCCCAAACCCTCTGCCTCCTTTATTTACAGTAACTATAACCAACACACGCATCACCCTGCACCATTTGGCAGCAGCTACAATCCACACAAGACTTTGGTTTCAATTCCCCTTCTTCCAAAACCAGTTTAACCTTCTCCTGTGCCCTCTGGAATGCTTGCTCTGTCGCAACAAACTCACCTCTGTTCATTACCTCATTGTCACTAACTCCTTTCATCTACTTGCTGCCACTGAAAACATAGCTTCATGACTCTAACACTGCTTCTCCTGCTTCCCTCTCCCATGGTGGTTTTCTTTGAACTGGTAGAGTGGGAATCCTCCTAACCCCACAGAGTACCTTTCAGGTTCTTCTCCTCCCTCTCTGTCCCTCTCATCATTTGAAGCTGACTGTTTAAGTATATTTTCTCCAATTTCTTTAGGAATTGCTGTCATCTAGCAGCCCCCTGGACCAATATCAACCTTCCTTGATGACTTCTCTGCCTGGCTACCCTGCTTTCTCACTTCTGAAATTCCCACAATCATTCTTGGTGACTTCAACATCCCTGTTAATACTAACACTCCTTCTACTTGTAAATTTCTTAGTCTAACCTCCTCACTTGACCTGAAGCAATGGGTACATGCTTCTACTCACTCTGAAGGCAACACCCTTGACCTTGTATTCTCCAACCTATGCACTCCATTCACTTTAACCCTTCTCTTCTCCACTCTGCTATTGACCACCTCTATGACAATATCTCACCCCTGTCCCCCCACCAATCTAGCCACTTCTGCCTACAGTACATCCCTGTCCTCCGCCCTGGACAAGCTTGTTTCCTCTCCCAACACACAGAATCAGGCCCCGACCCCCACAAAAGTGTCACAAAGACTTCAACTAATATAAAATTGCCCACCAAAAATACAATTCTTGCCTCCACACTATCAAGCAGACCTATTTTTTCACTCTCATTAACACCTTCTTATCCAGTACCCTTCAACTCTTTTCTACCTTGAACTCTACTTTGTCCACCACTGCCTCCACCCACTAACTCACTCACTGCCCAGGAGATTGCCAATCACTTCAAAAATAGGATCAATACAATTTGTGATGAAATCACTCTACAAATAACTCCCCCACTTAACACCCCATGTCCGCAGGTACACTCAGCACTACCCTTATTCAGCCCTGCTACTACAGATGAGGTTGCTAAACTTTTATCAAAAGCCCACCTAACCATTTGTACCCTGGACATTATTCCATCTCAAATACTGTGGTCACACTCTGGCTCTATCCTACAATCTCTATCTCACATCTTCAATCTCTCCCTGTCTTCTGGCACCTTCACCAATACTCTAAAACATGCACTAGTCACCCCCATACTTAAAAAGCCTTTCTTGGACCCCACCAATCTAACAACCTATGCCCCATCTCCTTGCTCCCCTTTTCCTCCAAACCCTTTGAACACCTGGTCTACAACCAAGTGACCACCTCATTAACAATAACCTTCTTGATTCCCTTCAGTCTGGATTTCATCCTCAACACTCCACAGAAACTTCTCTCATAAAACTCACAAATGATATACTAACAGAAAAAACCAATGGACACTATTCTGTATTCTTACTTCTGGACCTTTTGGCTATCTTTGATACGGTTTACCACCCCCTTCTCCTCAAAAAAACTTTAGTACCTTGGTATCCGTGACTGTGCTCTTCGTTGGTTCTCATCCTACCTATCCCACCGCACCTTCAGTGTCACTTACAATTCTGCTTCCTCCTCTCCTCTTCCTTTTCTTCTTTGGGGTTCCCCAAGGTTCTGTTCATGGATCTCTCCTATTCTGAATCTACACCTCCTCCCTGGGTCAGCTGATGGCTGACCTCCCATGGCTTTCTATATAATTTCTACGCTGACGACATCCAAATCTATCTCTCTACCCCTTACCTCACAACATCAGTCTCCTCACACATCACTAACCTACTGACTGACATCTCAGCCTTGATGTCACACCGCTTCCTCAATATATCCAAAACCGAGCTCCCAATATTTCCTCCCCCATGTGCCCCTTCCCCTGACTTCTCTGTCAAAATCAATGGCACAACCATGGACCTGTCCCCTCATGCCAGGGTGCTAGGTGTAATCCTTGACTGTGAACTCTCCTTTTGGCCCCACATCCAATCACTTTCCAAAGCTTGTCATCTCAACCTCCACAACATCTCTAAAATACGCCATTTCCTAACCAATGACACCACAAAGCTCCTAATTTTC